CCGCTCTTACAGACGGCGACTGAAACCATGAGAGTACATCTGCATACGTTCCAAGTCAAGGCTGCTGCAGGCCTCTAGACGCCGCTGCTCGAGATATGTCGAACGGGATTCAGCGAGAAATATGGGTGGCTCAATCCATGATTTGGTGGAGAAGGAAGAGATTGAAGGAGGCGGTTCTCGGCGACTTTGGTGCTTGCCCGTAAAAGGCGGGACAAAGGCAGTCGACACATCACCGGGAGATGTGGGCTCCCTCGGAGGCGGCTGAGACATTTGACCTATCTGCGCAGTCTGTTCGGACACCCAGCTGTGGGAAGATCTCCGAGCGAGACTGAACGGCGATAAATGTCCAGTATCGGCGGGTGTCCTCATATCGATACCTTTGGTAGAGATGGCAGCAATTAATGTCATGAGCCACCCTGCAGTCCAAGATCAATATGAACGTGATCAGACACCGTATCGAACGGGCATGGAATCCCTTCTATGGTGACACGATCTGGAGCGTCATGCGGGTACACGGGAGCATTCCTACGCATACTCCCTCCTTTCGCAGTTCCCCGTACCTCAACTTCACCGCTGTTAGTATGAAAGGATCTCCTTACGTTGAGAAAGTCCAGACCAGAGGCGAGACTACGAGCAGAGCACGGTTGTTGTCGGATCTTTGCAAGGCCATTCTATAGTTACCTGCGCCATGGGAGTCTGATACTGGTCCTCAGATCGTCGTCTCTCGATACCGGAATACTTCGAACTCTTTCAGAGCGAGGCAAGCGAACGCCCACCGCAGTCCACGGGGACTCAGCAATATGTTGAAGTGGGAGGTCTGCGTATAAGCGTAGAGGTCTCAACTCCATCCTCTTTGCCTCGTATCCTCCTACCCTGCGTAACCAAGTCTTTCAGCTAAGGCCTTTGCATCATCGCTTTGACCGAGGCCGTTTAACGGAAGCCTCATTGCTGTGACGCATCACCATTCGCTCATCGACTCCTCCGCCGAGCCCCCATACTGACAGACAGACCTGGCAAACTAGTCTGTAATGCATCGCCGCAATCCCGATCTGCGGCCTCTTTCTGCATTGATACTGAGTCATGGCGGTTAGGCACTCAGTGGTTATTACCTATCGTGCACCTGTATGTGTCTACAGTACAGTACCAATCTATCATCCATGGTCTCGGCGGTTTGGCACGTGGGAAGCAACCACACTAAAGTGGTGTCCAATCTGCACCTAATACGTCAATCCCCGCAATGCTGTGAGAGCCCATTCCGACAAGCTGGAGAGTAACGAACTCCTACGGACGTTGGTCCTGACAAAAGTGATGACAGCGAAGTCTCCATTGTCCTGTTGGGAACGTCTGTTTCTCAGCGCCTGGAAGGTCAAGTTCGGCAGCGGGACCACGGTCCACCAATCACATCTCTCCGTTTACGGAAACCTGTTGTCTTTGGAGATGGAAAAACCGAGTCCATCCCGCGAAAAACGGATTGACAGCGACGACAAAACAGGTCAACCGGTGCGTTTTTTGGGTTTCACCAGTCCTGCTCCCATTGGGGGTGGCAGTTGATTTCATTTCGCCATCGTGGTCGTACTGCCTCGAGCATGACAAGCGCTTCAACGGGATTCTCAACGCCCTTGGGCCCGCTCTCCTTTCACCTTTTGTTGGCATTGGTCGCCTCAAGACCAATGCCATTGTCGCTGGAGTCCAATATCCCTTTCTGACAGGAGCGACGGCGCTCTGGAGTAGCCGGTAAAGGAACACAGACTTCGAGCAGGCCGTGAGGTCTCTCAGGCGCTCCTCGACCGTTGGCCGATCTGGTCTGGGCGTTCTTCCGGCTTTGCCGGACAACACATACAGCAGGACCTCCACGCCTGGAACACCCTGACTGTCGGGACAAGCAGATGATGGACGATTGAGGAGGACCCTGAATACGCCCCTGCTCGTGCAGAAAGTCCTCTCCCGCAGCTCTGGTCGGACTGCAAACCAACACGGATTGTCATGCCTTCAACCCCTCCTGCTCGCGCTATTGAACGCTCCCCGGAGTAAAAATGCATGCAGCTGATGCAGCAGAGACGCGGGATGCTGCAGCAGCTGTCGTACGGCGGAAGAACGGATCCTTTCACCGCGAATTCAGGCAAAGGAGGACGGAGAAGCAGCTTTCTCCGCCAACGGAAACGCTCCCCTTCCCTCCCTGGGCAACAGATCGGACGACAACACCCCCCAATCACTCAAGGCTTGCTCGGAGCCTCGATACCGATGCGGAGAGGCAATTCCAGAGGGCCGAGCGACGCCGCCGCCCGCACAGAGCAAGCCTGGGCCGCCGCCGAAACTTCATCGTGCCACAGCACCACAACGCGTGACGCGATCCGCTCAAAAAACACATGGGGAGTATCAGGAGCACCGTGCGCTTCTCCCATAAGACCCATTTGTCGCTGCGGCCACGTTTTGAAATCTTCGAGTTGCGGGTACCCCAGCGGGGGTCAACTGGTCCAAACGCATTTCGACCAGTTGACCCCGCACATCGACGACAACCAACTTTGCCCAACGGCCCTGCCACTCATTCCACGCTGTCGAGGGTATCGTCGGGATGTCGGAACAATGGTTGAAATGTCGCGGGACCTCCATCTCGTCGGCGTGGCGGCCCGAACAGCAGCGGGGGGAGGCCTCCGGCGTGTCCGACCCGCTGGCACCGCGTCCTGTGGCCCATAATGCTTGCGGAGCAATGCCACGCGATGGACGCAGTGTTGCGGATGATGGATATGTTGATTGGAAGAGGCAGGGAGCGTGTGGCGTGGGAGAGAAAGCCGACAGACACGGGCAAGTGCGGGCAGCTGCGGACAGGCAGGAGAGACAGCTTGATGATTGATTCATCGCGCAGCAGGCAGCGAGAGGGCATTCGGATTGATCATGTACCCTGGCAGGCTCTGAGGCGAGGAACGCGAGCGAAGGATGATTGGGGTTTTTGGGGGGGGGGAGGGGGCGGTTGGATCGATGTGTCTTCCCCCTGCGCATTCCCGACGGCGCCAACACCGATGCCAGTCAGGACGAGGAACAAGGCCGACAGACGCTTCCAAGGGCTCTTGGATAAGCAAAGAAGGAGGCCGACGACTACTCCGCATCAAATGGGTGGCAGGGAATGAGGCCGATCATCGCTTCTCATGACCAAGGGGTGAACAAGCAACGAGAGCACACGAGAGAGAGTCACGAGAGAGGAGACAGACACATTCCGACGAGCTACAATCCGGCCGAGACACGATGGGGCAGGCAGGCAGGTCAGGCAGGCAGGTCAGGCAGGCAGGGCAGGCAAAGTGTGACAGTGATCTCGCAACGACGATGCCGGGGCCTGACTGACAAATGTGCGAGCGGTGCCCTCAGCAAGGCAACAAGGAAACAAGGCATCAGGGAAGGAGGAGAAAGTACTTGATGAGGTCCTTCTCATTTATTCTGGACTACACAGTACAACGGAGTATTTCAAGAACCCACAAGCGCGCCGCGCATGCAGGCTGGCCCCAGCACAGAACGGTTCTGCAGCTCTGGGTCTTCCCGACATGGATCCCCGCAGCACCGATGATGCACGAACAAACAGCGCGGGCAGCGACGAAATAGACGGACATGTGGATATCAGGAGTAGGCGAATGAGCGGGCATGTGAACGTCTGGAAGCGACGTCGAGCTTCATTCATCACGGGTTCCCGCTCAGCTGCGGTGAAGACGAGCAGAGGATCAGAGTTCCCGGCGTGGACGGGTCTCGCAGTGCTTTGCCCAACTGTGTATGCGGTAGAGGATGGGTTTGCGGAACGTGGGCGGCTTGACGGGACACGGAGATGCCGAACACTTGAGCAAGGCTATACCAAGAGACAAGGCAGACAGGCTATCGCGGCACCGTGTTCCGCGACGAGATCGGAGGTGTATTCCGGGAATGAAGATGCATTGGAGCACATGCTGCATATGGTGGCTCGGCAGGGAGCAAGATGGCGGGATTGGTATTGAACATGGCATCCTGAATTATCAACGCCGTGGTACAACGGCAATATGTGTGAACTCACAGACATTCTCCGAGATTGTAACTATATAGAACCTGCATAGCGGTCATGTACATGGATCCGCGAGGGTTCGTTGTCACATTTTCGCATCCCTCAGGCACGGGCGATCAGTTCCTCCTCGATGAGATCAGGTCGTCGCATTGGCTTGTCTCCACACTGCCAAACGGAAGTCTCCAGCTGCGGAAAGCTGTGCCGACTTGACAAGATACCGGGAGAGTTCGTGCGCCGCCTCGCCCTACTCCCGAACATCCAGCAGCAGTCATTCCTATGCTTTCAGTCCCAGAAAGCGGTGAACGTGGGGAAAGACCGTCTATTGCCTGCGCCGTGGTCGCTTGCCGCACGAGACAGACTTTGCAAGACTGTTCTTTGCTTCCAGCACCGGCCAATGTATAGATAGGGATGGCAAGGCGCGCGCAAATACATCCGAACCAAGTTCCTCCCTCTACGTCGGTATCAGTATCGACAAATGACTTTCTCTTGTAGTATCCACGCTGTTTTCTTGCCCAAACCATTGATCACGGTCCTCCTTGAAGGGTGCTGAGTGGAAGTAACTTGCACCGCCGTGCAAGAAACGCCAGCGCGCCCGATTTGCGATATTGTGCCTCGACAAGGGCTGGTATTCCACAGATGCACGAAGACAATCCTGCACAAGTTGTAGGAGCATGGGTAGAGCGAGCATAAAGCTAGCAGCACAGCCGGGTACCCATCTTGATTTGCGTTTGTTCACTCTTTCTCCCATCAGCAGCGAGGCCAACAAGAGCTTCAGCTGCCCTGGTTCAGTTGCGCCGCACGCACGTGGCGAGATGTACCAGCATTTTTCTCCTTGGTAGCTGGCCAGCTTCTGGTCAGAACCCTGCCTGGCCGCCCACTGCCATGAAAACAGAGCGTAGAGGGCTGATGTATATGCATCACTCTTTTGTTCTTTCCGCCATCACAACTGCAGCGGTGCCTTTGGAGAATCTCGAAGACGACAATGGCCCAGCCGGGGGATTGTGAGAGGTTCCACCTCTTCAGTGTATCTTTGGAGAATCTTGAAGACGGCAAAGGGCTCGCCGAAGGGATCCGGAGAGGTGTTCAGCTCTTTGGATATAATTGGCAGCGATGCCACTGTGGTCGGGTGCGGCGCAGAAGAGTCGACGGCAGCGGTGTCATTGTTAAGGAACCGCGCGTTCTCGGTGCCAGCGGTGTCTCCAGTTCGGGATACGCGGAATGCTGGACGGGCGAATGCGCTGAGGTGCGGACGACAGAGGAGGTAGGATTCGACGGAGTTGCAGCTAACGCAGTATCCGAACGGTCAGGGACAAGGATTGACGGTTACGGGTCTGGCGTCCCGGCGAGTACGCAGGCAGAGGGGGAGATTCGCGATTACGAAAGGTAGAAGGTGGATGTGTGGGTGCGAGGGACGGAGGAGACAGAGAGAGAGGGACTCGGAGGTGACGGTGCCTGTCGTGAGTACCGCTGGACAAGGCACAGCGCTCAACTCTGCATTAATCAAGTCAGTAGCAACGGCGAGCGCGCATAGAAATGAGCGGAATTGAATCAAATTGTCAGGAGGAAGCGCAGAAAGCAGATGGAAAGCGACATCAACTGCCTGCGCTCTTCCGCTGCGCCCGCAATCAGTTTCTTTGGGCGACAAGCGAAGGTGCTCGAGGGTTGCTGAGGGACGGGTGGCAGGACTTGGGCCAAAGACACTTGTAGGCGAAGACGCCCAGACTTTCAGTTCTGTCCGCGAGTTTGCCTCGCTCCAATGATTTGTGGTAATTCAGCGTTGCTTGGTCGAGAGACGAATTGGAAAATGATTATTCCGCTCCGATAGTCTAACTGTGCGTAGATTAGGCTCTCCTCTGGGAGCCGGCTCGTCCAACCTTCTACTTGTGGTACGAGGCAGGATATGCACCTTCCTGATATAGTTAGGGGAATCCTGAGCATGCCAAGCATTGAGTTTGCTTCGTTTGCCCACGAGGCTGCGAGGCTACAGAACGCCCTGCAAAGGATACCTTCATTGATCCCTCATGGCTTTGAGTGTTAAACCTACTGTACCTTGCCAGGATATGGAACGCTCTCCATATACCGCATGAATTAAAGCACCGAGTCAATACTACGTCCGTTGTGCTGAGTGCGCCGAGATCATGGTCTCGTACTCAGTACATCGGAGCCACTACTGCGGGCTATGAGTGCCTTAGAACTCGACCTCACACCCCTCGTACGAGCACGGCGTACATATTTGACGAGGGAACTTGGTCGAGGCATGCTGCGCTCAAAGAGGCTGGTGTACGTTAAAATCGGAATAGGTACGAGTGCTTAGAGTCTGGCCCATTCGCCGTCACCGCGACACCCAGCCATACTACGCCCTTCAGATACGCAACTCCCTTCTGCAAAGTTCTCATGCCGCTGCCTTGCCAGAGTTGCATGTCAACCATCCTAGGCTGTCGTGGCTGCAGCGAATCATGAGCCTTGAATCGTCACCTCGTTTTCCGATAACTTACTCGCAGCGCCCGCAGAACCACCCTACGCCCTGCGACCAAAGAGCTTCTCTACTACACCTTCTGCAGGCCTTGCTTCGCGAATTGACACCATCATCACCTGTTCATAACCAAGATTTTGTTTACCAGACTCTTCTGGTTCAGCTGCAGTTGGACCTTGCTCATTCTGGGCTGAAGTGGTGTCAGAAGCGAGATGAACGACATGCCCAAAGTGTCTTTGAGTCAAAGGCCAGGGTATCAACTATTCTCCAACTGCTGGCAGGGATGGCCATGTCCCTATCTTGCTCGATGAGGCCAAAACAAGAATCCTACCAGATTGCTGCGAAGTACTGCAAGGACCTTTGGAGACCTTTGGAGATGCCGGCAGTTGAATCAGAGGCATATGCCCCGCCTTGAGATGTAATGACAGTTGGCGTGGGCGAGGACGCACTTTCGGCCCCCTCGTTGTTGCGCAACTGCAAAGCGTAGACCGAGGGGACACGTCGGCGTCGGCGGCGTGCTCGTCTTGAACGGAGGTTGTTGTCTGTGAGAAGGTATATGCGACGACTGCGTTGTGGTCATTACCCCCACAAACACGAGCATGATCAAGGACAGCAACTTAGCCGCACACTTTGGAGTCAGTTGCGCAAATGTGACACTGATGGTGATGCTTTGCTGCATTGGGCGACGAATATGGCTAGAAGGACGTGATTCGCCGAATTGGGCAAAGGTCTATCAAGGGCCTGCATCTCTGTCGAATTGCATCCTTGTCAAAGGACAGCACATGCGAGTGCAGACATCCTTGCGATTGCTGTTGCTTCTCCCACTACCTTCCCTTTCTGTACAAGCACAGCCAACTGTCTGCGTCCAAAACAGGCAGAGCATCTGCACGGGGGAAATGTCAACAGACAGGATTCCTCGCGGCATCCTGAATCGCAACCTGGGGCGTTTTTCTTCCTATCATGGAATTGGTTCGTCATTACTTTCCTCTGAGCTCCTTTTGGCCTGGTCTGTCGCTTCCCCAGTCAGACTATTCTCCTGCCTTCGAGTGAGGCGGAGAGCTCATGGCCAATGGTTCCGTTTGCTAATGCAGAGGTGTAATTGTCAGCGAGCCTCCCATGTCCTTTCCCGGAGGTGCGGGCAACGGACCGCAAAGGCCACGGTCTGCACTAGTCGAATGTGATGCATGTGCAAGCCAATGCCGAGTCCAGCACCTTGTATCCGTTCCGTTTTCGGGTCTGCAACTTACGGTTGTGCACCGAGCAGTCGTGACATCGACGTAATGTTTCAGCTGCGAACGTCAACGCTAATACCTCCAGTAGAGTTCTCTCTTAGCCGGGCACTTGACATGCCGGTACATTTCCAACCGTCAGCGCCTGTGCGGGGTATTTTCGTTTACACCGCCGCTGACCATCCAGAATAGGCATCGGACGTGCTGAAAGACGGCTCTGCAACCCGAGAGCTACTGGGTAGTGCTCTTCCGTGCGCGGAGATGCTGACCTTTGCCTCCTTCTCGGCACGAGTAGAACAATTGAGATGTTACGAGGTTCAACCATCACCGTCTGGACATCGCCGTCTATCCCCGTTCACCACCATCCCAGCCAATTGAGTCGCACTCTTTCACCTTATCTCTGGAGCGGGCTGGACTGAGGAGTCGCTACAACTAGCGGCGGCCCGATATGTCGTCCCGGTCCTAGCAAGATGCATCTCAAAACGCACACAACCCACACTTCACATATTTCTCGGTCAGACACTCACATTATACTGACCGTCCTCCACACCATCTACCAGTCTCACAGCGGGTACTTCCTTGGAGGTCCAGCTGCTGCAGAAGAGTTTGCCACTGTGGAGCCCGGCTCCGACTTCCTCTGCGCTACCAAAGTCTCTTGCAGCTTGTCTGCAACACGACCTTGGTCGGGCGTTAGTCTTTTCAACTGTTTCCGTTTCGGGAGAAAGCGACGGAGGGAAGGAACCGAGCATCGTTCACGTGCTTCATCTGCTTGCAACCACCAGCCAGGGTTGCTGTTGACATTGCTCTTTTTGGCAGAACCGACGCGGCTGCGGCGAGCCTCGGGACGTGTGCGGGGGGCGAGCAGTCGCAGAAGTTTTCTTTTCCTTGCAGTTTGGTCTATCCAGCAGCGAGCGCCACGACACGGATCGCCCTTGGCAGTCCGTCACGACCTTCCTGAAAAAAAGGAAGGCGTTAGACTGCAGGTTTATTCAGGGAGTGGGATCTGCTTGCTACTCGTGCACCTAGGTGAGGGAATCAGATGAAGCCACTGATGGCGGTATTGCTACCCTGGTGCCTGTAGATGCAGTGGGCAGTGGTGGACAGAATCAGACAAAATGGAATGAATTAGGAAGAAGACAATCTGTCAGGGAGATAGCCCGCACGAGGGAAGGAGTATTGAAGGGTTGCGATCCAATGTGTTTTGTACGGAGTACTGTCTGTACCAAGCATGACCCAGATTGAGCTTCGCAAGACAGGTAGGCAGGTAATCCCATGTGTGGAACCTACAGGGATCTTGAGGCGGACGAGGTACCTCGCGACGCTCGTTGTGGTCACAGCACTCGCTTTGAAGATGCATTAGTTAGAGGTAAGAAGATGCTGTCATGATATTCGACACTGATACCGGAAATTTTTAGCCGGGACTCGTGGCGACACTTGATTGGACAAAATATTTCCGGTTAACTTTCCTAGTCAGGTCGACTTTCCTGATGTGGTTTGGTTCTTCTGACTTTCGTCTGACTTGACCACCGACACCACCACCACCACCATCACTTGCATTTGTGCTTGTCCCTTGTCCACCCTGCAGAGCATACGAGCACTTGGATATGTGCCAAGTGCTCGGTTCACGCCGGGTCTGATGCAACAAGGTATTTTTGACCTTCCCAAACGAGTGACACCAAGAAACTGCCAACTCAGACATTCGCGGACGATAAGACTGCAGCTCAACCAATGGCACGCACTTCGGCAGCTCACTTTGTCGTCCCTCTGTTCCCTATATTTAGGCGAGTCCTGCCTGTGCGCTCACATATTCCTGGTTTCTTCTTGCTCGGAGACTTCCCGCCCTTCGCAAGGGCCATTCGACCTGGGGATGAGTAGGAGAAGAAAAGCCTTGGTGTCTGCACAACTGGAATGAAAGTCGATTTCTACCGCTCAAAATATGGAGATTCGAGTGATTCACAATATGGCCAGACCCGCTCTCACTGCTCTCGATGGTGTCGCTTGTTCTGTCTTCGATTCTGCAGCCTCATGAACAAACACGAACACACGTCCATCTCCGGTCCTACGTTGCGCTTGACGTCTTTCCAGGACGGTTATTGAGCTATTCTTGTCGTCAATGTCACCCAAAGCGGTCTTTACAGATTCTCGATACGAATCAACGAGATGCCTTATTCCGCAAGACAACGAGGACCGAATCCTTCGTACTCGGGCCGTGGTCCGATGACTGATGATGGCACCCTCAAGGAAGACACTTGTGGAGCATAAGAGAAAACGGACCGGAGAAGGCAAAGAGGCTTTTTTAGAGATGCCTTCGGACAAGCGAAAGATCTCGCCTGCCAATGCTCGTACACACTGCCGTTCGATCTCTTGCGCCGTAGCCAGCGGACTACCACCGACACTGCACACCCCGCGCTTCAGAATGTCAAAATGTGGGTATCCGTTTCGGCATGCATATCCGGAAAACTGACCCGGGCTCCAGACATGATCTATCCGCATATACACATACTGAGCTGCCTGAGAGCGAGCCACCGTTCGCAAGATTCAGGTCGAGCTGGCCCCAGGTTCGCGCGTCCTCTTGGATTTCAATCGATGCTGGCTCATCGCCGAGACCATGAGGAATCGCGCCGGTTGCATTGAACCGCGTTTGGGTTGGGAACAACACGGACGTTGTGCAACCATCAAAAGTCG